ATGACAGGATCATCAAGGCTCAAGGTTTTGTTTTGGTTTGTTTTTTTAATAAGGAAATAACTTTGAAAAATTATGAATTTAATTTTTCTGCCATTACCTAAATTATTGCAAGAAGGTTATCTTCGTTTTTCTTAAATGTTCTTTCTGTCCCATCTCTATAATGCACTTCTGTAGTTTGAATGTCTTATTTATTTAATTTTGAGACAGAGCTTCCCTCTGTCACCCAGGCTGGAGTGCAGTGGCACCACCTCAGCTCACTGCAACCTCTGCCTCCTGGGCTCAGGCAACTCTTGTGCCTCAGACTTCTGAGTAGCTGGGATTACAGGGGTGCACCACCATGCCCGGCTAATTCTTGTATTTTTAGTAGAGACAGGGTTTACCATGTTGGTCAGGCTGGTCTTGAACTCCTGGCCTCAAGTAATCCACCCATCTTGGCCTCCCAAATTGCTGGGATTGCAGGCGTGAGCCACCACATCCGGCCTGTAGTTTGAATCTTTTAACAGTCAAATGGTCCCTTATTAATTTGAGGGGCACATTTGTATTGAGCACTTCCTGGATGCCAGATACTGTAGTGTACTGGGATACAGAGATGGCATACAACTGTGCTTTGCTCTCAGGCATCCCAGTTACTGACAAACTCATCAATTTAAAGATATAGTCTGGTCTGTATTCTTGTACTTCATGGTGATCCTATTTCTTATTAATCTGTTCATAGTAAAAGTGGAGAAAAGGGTATTGATCATTATCTTCACATTTATCTTTGTATATTTTAAGATAATCAAGACCTCGAACTTTTTTCCTCAAGTGATCTGCCTGCCTTGGCCTCCCAAAGTGCTGGGATTACAGGTATGAGCCACTATACCTGGCCCATTTTATTAATACAAATGAGAAATATGAGGCCTAGAAAAAAGCTAAAGGAATACCTTAAGCATGTTACAGAAATAAGATATAATGCAATGTTCCAAGGCTGGACATGGTGGCTCATGCCTGTAATCCCAGAACTTTGGGAGGCTGAAGCGAGTAGATCACAAGGTCAGGATTTCAAAACCAGCCTGGCCAAGATGGTGAAAACTAGTCTCTACTAAAAATACAAAAATTAGCCGGGCCTGGTGGCAGGTGCCTGTAATCCTAGCTACTCAGGAGGCTGAGGCAGAGAATTGCTTAAACCCAGGAGGCAGAGGTTGCAGTGAGCTGAGATCATGCCACTTCACTCTAGCCTGGGTGATAGTGAGACTCCGTCTCAAAAAAAAAAAAAAAAAAAAAAAAAAAAAAAAAAAAGAAATGTTCTATTTATTTATTTATTTATTATTTTTTTTTGAGACGGAGTTTCACTCATGTTACCCAGGTTGGAGTGCAATGGCGCGATCTTGGCTCACCGCAACCTCCACCTCCTGGGTTCAGGCAATTCTCCTGCCTCAGCCTCCTGAGTAGCTGGGATTACAGACACACACCACCATGCCCAGCTAATTTTTTGTATTTTTAGTAGAGACGGGGTTTCACCATGTTGACCAGGATGGTCTCGATCTCTTGACCTTGTGATCCACCTGCCTCGGCCTCCCAAAGTGCTGGGATTACAGGCTTGAGCCACGGCGCCCGGCCAATAAATGTTCTATTTATCAAATTTCTTCTTTGATGTTTTTTTTCTATCTATGGAAATGTAGTTATTTGCCAATTATTAGTACTTTGAGAAGAGGCACAATGTGCTCTAAATTCTTTTGAAGAACTTTTGAAGAAGAATAATACCATATAGTTGTATTTCTCTTTCAAAAATTTACAAGTAATAGAAACATCGGGGGTAATTATTCATGTTCCAAGAGAATTAATCTATTGATTCTATTAAGAATTGGTTTTACATTTGACTTATTCATCTCTATATCTACTACTAAGCAACATGATAACATTACAGGGCCTTACTCTTGTCACCCAGGTGAGAGTGCAGTGGCACAATCATGGCTCACTACAGCCTTGACTTCCATTCCTCCTGCTTAATTTTTTAATTTTTGTAGAGATGAGGTCTCACTGTGTTGCCCAGGCAGGTCTTGAACTCCTGGGCTCAAGCAGTCCTTCCATCTCACCCTCCCAAAGTGCTGGGATTACAGGCATGAGCCACTGAGCCTGGCCAGCAAAATTCTTTAAAACAAAAAACAATTAGTACAGATACCACCCTAACATTTAAGTTTTTTTCTTTGTTCTTTTTTAGGCTATCCTAGTTTTTGCAAATATTTTAACATAGTTGAACTCATGGTATGTTACAATTATCCTGAGTACTGTGTCCAAGCTCATGCTTGTAATTTCAGCACCTTGGGGTGCCAAGGTGGGCGGATCACTTTGAGGCCAGGAATTTGAGACCAGCCTGGGCATTTTTAGACGTACGGAAATCTTTTGTCTGAAAAAAAGTCAAGTGTTGTCTCCCGTAGTTGTGGCTACTCAGGAGGCTGAGGCAGAGGATTGCTTATGCCCAGGTGGTTGGCCAAGATTGCACCACTGCATCTCAGACTGGGTAACAGAGTGAGACTGTCTCTAAAAAAAGAAAAAAAAAATACTGTTTACTAAGTGCACTTTATACCAAGTGTTGCTATGCATTTTGCTTTTTAAACATTATCTTTACATCAACAGCTCTACCAAATAGGTGGTTTATTCCATTTAGTGATGAGAAGGAAGAATCAGAGAAGGTAATTTGTCCTAACCTAGGCTCACAGGTCATGCTGGTATTTAAACTCAGATCTGTCTGACTCAGAAGCTTTTAGTCTTCTACCTAGGTTGTGCTTGTTTTCTGAAATCCAGGCTCACCAGCACTTTGGGTGGCTGAGGCAGACAGATTGCTTGATCTCAGGAGTTCAAGACTAGCCTGGGCAACATAGCAAAACCCTATCTCTACAAAAAATACAAAAATTACTTGGGCATGGTAGCATATCCCTGTAGTCCCAGCTACTCAGGAGGCTGAGGCAGAAGGATCACCTGAGCCTGGGAGTTTGGGGCTGCAGTGAATTGTGATTGTACCACTACACTCTAGCCTAGGTGACAAAGTAAGACCCTGTCTCAAAAAAACAAAACAAAACAAAAAACCTCTTAGAGACATAGTTTTATAGAGGTCGGTTTCTTTTAGCATTCCATTGCTAACAAGATTTTTATGTTATCAGAATTCTGCACCTGCTCAGTATGAAATAATACCTAAAGCATTGCTTTCCTACCTCCTTCATGTCATAGTGTACACAGAAAATGACATTTGTATAACATCCCTGGTAAATTAGAGGATATTCGTGAATTTGATATAAAAATTCATTGTCGCTGCGTGTGGTGGCTCATGCCTGTAATCCCAGCACTTTGGGAGACTGAGACGGACGGATCACTTGAGGTCAGGAGTCTGAGACCAGCCTGGCCAACGTGGCAAAACTCCATCTCTACTAAAAACACAATTATTAGCCAACATGGTGGCACATACCTATGATCTCAGCTACTCGGGGGGCTGTGACGGGAGAATTGCCTGAACCGGGGAGGCGGAAGTTACAGTGAGCCGAGAACACACCACTGCACTCCAGCCTGGCTAAGAGAGCGAGACTCCGTCTAAACAACAACAACAACAACAAAAATCCATCCCGTTTTCTTAATACAGTCATCATAAGAAAATGCATTAAAAATCAGACATCGAAGAATAGAATAAAAAAATATCTGAACAATAGATTAAGAAGTAACAATCAAGAAACTACAAAATTATGTTTGTTTATTTTTTTGAGACATAGTCTCACTCTGTCACCAGGCTGGAATGCAGTGGCGTGATCTTGGCTCACTGCAACCTCTGCCTCCCGGGTTCAAGCGATTCTTCTGCCTCAGCCTCCCGAGTAGCTGGGACTACAGGTGCGTGCCACCACATCCGGCTAATTTTTTGTATTTTTAGTAGAGACGGGGTTTCACCGTGTTAGCCAGGATGGTCTCGATCTCCTGACCTCATGATCTGCCCACCTTGCCCTACCAAAGTGCTGGTATTATAGGCGTGAGCCTCCACACCCGGCCTCAAAATTGTTTTATTTAGGAACGCCTAATAATACCAGATGTATTTATTAGTAATGGTGATGTTGGTGATTATAATACGATTCATGACAAACATACATGTAGAAATAGTGGAGAGATTAGAGCAAATTAAATAGAAAATGTCTTTTACATATGTGTGCAAAATGTAGAGCCTCATTGATGTTAAACAATGTAGACTAAAATAAAAATATAGACTAAAATGATTCAACAGAAAGATCAGGAGAAGGAGCTATTTCATGGAGTCAGTGTACTGTGCCATATGCATAGTTTTATGTACCAAAACTATGGCACATAAGTGGTTCCATATAGTGGAGTCACGTGCGTAGTTTTCTGTACCAAAATTATAATTAGAAAGTTTATGTAGAGAACCATATGAATTAAATATAACTTTACCCATCTTGATTTTTAGTTGGTTGCAAAACATTTTTAATACAATACAGAATTTCATTCAGAATACCTTTTCATTACACTTATAAGCCATTTTAGAACAATAAATGATTGGGAAGATCTGATATAAAGCCCTTATTGATAGTAAGCATTTGGTAAATATTGACTATTATTATGTTGAGTTAGTAAAACAAAGTGGTTAAGATTATGAGCTTTGGAATCAGACATACTTAGTTTCTAATCCTAGTTTTGCTACTTACATAAGCTTTATGTAAGCTGTCTGTGCACAGTGCCTTATTCTTAGTAGGCATTTAGGTGATTTTCTTTTAAACTAAGATGAGGATAAAAATCTTTGATGAGTCTTACTGTGACCTACCAGACACTGTATGATCTGATCCCCCCTTAGCTCTCAGAATTTGTCTTTCCCTTGTGCAACCCATTCCAGTCACATTAGTGTCCTCCATGTTTCTCAAAAACTCTAGTTGCTAGGAATAGATGCTTAAGGGTCTCGCATCTGTTTTTCCTTCTGCCTGGAATGCTATTCCATCAGATACACACATGGCTTGCTTTTTTACTTTCTACAGGTCTTTACTCAAATGTCACCTTTGCAGTGAAGCACTTCCTGGCCATCGTATCTAAAAATTTCAGATGAACTTTCCTCACCTTCTCATTTTTAAAAATTGAGGTAAATTTTACATATAGTAAAATGCCTAGAATTTAAATCTATAGTTTGATGGATTTTGACAATGTATACAACCATGTAACCAATATGGTTTTGATATTTCTCCCACCGAAATCTCATGTTGAGATGTAATCCCCAATGTTGAAGGTGGGGCCTGGTGGGAAGTGTGTAGGTCATAGGGGAGGGATAGTGAGTGCAGTCTCAGGAGATCTGATCATTTAAAAGTATGTGGCACCACCCCCGCCAACCTTGTTCCCATTCTCACCCTGTGATGTGCCTGCTCCACTTCACCCTCCACCGTGAGTGAAAGCTCCCTGAGGCCTCCTGAGAAGCCAGGCAGAAGTTAGTGCCATGCTTGAACAGCCTGCAGAACTATGAAATAATTACATTTCTTTTCTTTATAAACTAGTCAGCCTCAAGTATTTCTTTATAGCAATACAAGAATAGCCTAATGTAGTAACCGCCACCCAAATCAAGAAATTGGACATTTTTGTCTCCTTTGAAAGTTCTGCCCACACCCCTCCATCCTCCCTCAGGCCACCACTGTTACAATTTCTATCATTCTAGAATTAGTTTTGGCTATTATCTTTATTGAATATTTTATATATAGCCATATAAAATGCCTTTCAGTAAGTTAAAAGAACCATTTTATTTTGAGATGGGGCCTTGCTCTGTCACACAGGCTGGAGTGCAGTGGCACAATCATGGCTTACTGCAACCTTGAGCTCCTGGGCTCAAGCCATTCTTCCACCCCAGCCTCCTGAGTAGCTAGGACTACAGGAATGTACCACCATGCCCAGCTATTTTTATTTTTTGTAGAGACAAGGTCTTGTTTATGTGGCACAACTTGTGGCCTCAAGAAATCCTCCCATGTCAGCCCCAACAAAGTGCTGTGATTACAGGCATGAACCACCATGCCAAGGAAACATTTTAGATGCAGAGACTTCTAATTAGATTGACATAGTTAAGACCAGAAATGTAAAGCAGACATTGCTACCTTATCTTCAGTCCTTGCCTTTAAGAGGCACATGAACACAGAACACAGGTGGATCTTGCTTGGTTCTGAGACAGTGAAGACATTTCCCCAGTATTTATTCATATAGCCAGTTATATAAATCTAAATATAAAGCCAATCTCCAATCGGTTTTAAAATGGCATTTGCCATCTTTGTGAAAAGTTGAACACTACTGATTAAGTCCAATCATAGCTTTAGAAGGGGGAAACAGGGATACCATTTACTGAATCAGAATTACTACTAAAATTTAAAAAAAAAAAGTATTCATTTAACCCCAAACTAGTCTTAGTTAAATCAGGACTGCTCAACAAAAATATTCTGTGAATTATTCACGATCTGAATTAGCTTTTAAATTGTGTATACTGTGCTTAGCATACATCCAAGCCAAAGTCAAAATTTAAAATAAATAAATAAATTGTGTATACATAAAAAAGTCATCTGGCCATTATTACTCATTATTAGCTTTTCTGAGATAAGGTATTAAGTCTGCCCTTTCTGCCTTCTTAGTGCTGGCAAAGATAATTTTTGTTCCAGGGATGCATTTCTTGGGATTCTGCAGATACTCCCTCAGTGTCTCCTCCCCTCAGTGATGCCTGTGTTCTCATTGGCACCTGTATGAAATAATTCAGTGGTCTGACCTGTCTTCTGCATAAAGAGACCATAGAGATTTGGCCCCCTCTTGTGCTCGCCTCCCTTTACAATGGTGTGGCACTGAGTACCCTTTTTTTTTTTTTTTTTTT